TCTCTGTACAATCTAATGGTTAACATATAGATATAAATGCCGAGTTAAAGACGCATTTTGCCAAGTTTAAAGTGCACGCGGAACGTGATATGATAAGGCTCGTAAAATAATCATAAAAAACAGAAAACGATATTTTGTTATGGCATTAATTGATAGAAGTCGTTAAAAGAAAAAAGAGCTCTGCAAAAAGGATAAAAGAACATTAACATTGTCAACCTCTATGATTTATTTATAAGTAACATGAATGTTAAAAAATGATGATTGCAATGAAGAAAATCAAATAAAAAATGCCTTACATAGTATCATAACAACGCAATTAATTTATACGTAATTACATTCGCCTATTTAAATAAAATGCTCACATTTGTAAGATTATATCCTCTAAATGGAAGTGTTTTCAATCATAAAATTAATTATCTGAAACTATGTACGAGTTTTATATCGTAATCAGACTTATAATTGACTGTTGAGGTAGAGTACACAAAAATATTGTTTCGTTGACAGACGTTTAAATTGGAAATAATTGATACTTAAACAAGAAGAAGCATTAGAAAAAGGGGTCAATTGTAACGATAGGATTAAATATATGTATATGATAATTTGTAAAAAATAATGTATATAAGAAACGTAAATATAAAGAAAAAAAAGGTTTTAAGTAATTAAATAATATTTAGAACGAATAATTTCAAAGAACTGAAAAAATGATTCAGAAAAATTATTTAACTTTGCTTTCATTTTTATTTTAATTAATCAGATTAATTCAAAATGAAGTAAAGATTCGGCACCGTCTATGCTTCTTTTCCGTCGTTAATCGGCGGATAGACGTACGCATGGAGGGGTGACTGCTATTAATTAATCACTTCGTGACTATCTCGTTAACGCGGTGAGTAAACAATTCGATAAAAGTATAGAAATGGACGCGCGTGTGTACGTGACTTAGAAACTCGATGGGACCTCGTTACGACAAAGCCGCCCGCCGCGAGATAAATACGTTAAATGAAAAAGCGGAAAGCGAGCGTGTATCTTTGAAATAAGATACTTCGATATATCGGGTGTAACAGGACTTTAACATAATCCTCCAACGTAGCATGCTTTTACTCGAATAATTATTCATCTGAATACATTATAGTTATCGATTCAGTAAAGGCGGTTAATTTACTCGTCTTTCATATACTTCTCCGCTTTTTTTCCTGTGAAGCGTTCTATTTCAAGCACAGAAAATATCCTCAAGATCCAAGCCTTATTTCTATAGACGTACTTAACCACTAATTTTTAAAACATATATTATAAAAATAGACATTACTTATTTATTACAAATAAATAATTATACTATTAAGGCTGAATTGTTCTATCTTTCGATAAATTTCAGCTCACTGTCTTACTTTCTCACTCCCTTATGCTCTTATATTCTTTTACTTTTTTGTTTATCTAGTAGGTCAATTATCACATAATTTATTCGAAGATGGAACACCCGGCCTTTAGATCAGCAGATTCATACAAAAAAAAAGAAGAAAACCATCGCTAATTTATTATGAATCATTCGGATTTGAAATTGAATTTTCTTCACTCTTCATTTTTATCCATTGTCGATCAAACTTAAACGGATCGGGAATGATTAGCCGCTCTCTTGTTTGGAGCAGCAATTCGCTCGTTACGTAAACGCAAATCGTCGCGGAAACGAATCACGATTAAGCCAAGGGGATATTCTTTAACGAGGTATTCCGTAACGACGTCTCGAGCAAGAAAAGGACCGCATTGTTTTCCAACCACCGGGTACATAGCGGCACTAATTCGACTTTATTGGCGTGCGTGCTCACGCGATATGCGACATGCCTCTCGCCTAGCGAGCACGTGAGTGACACGTGGTGTGAGCATGTGCGTTTCGCACGTTAAGGGACGGGCGACGGACGCTGTCGTGTTTCGCGCAAAAAGCCCGCGGGGCGCGGACTGTTGAATGAGGTGGAGCTCGAGACGTGCATTGAGTCAGATCAGGATTAAACGAGCGAGCGTACGTGAGCAATCCAAGAAACACACTAATGCCCATTTTTACCAATATATACTGTTAAATCTTATAGCGCCAAATTAACTTAATGTCAGTCGCCACTGCTCCTACTCAATAATATCGTTATTTTTTATTAAAACAATGGTTATATTTGACACTGTACAGTATCAATTTAACATTATATAATGTCAAATTTAATTAAACTACACTGGTCGAAACGAATGTAAGTCGAGACAAAGTCAAAACGACATTATTCTGATATCACATATGAAAGTCAAAATGATGATTTCTGGCTGCAAAATTTGACTGTTTATCAACGTTACGAATCAAAATAAAGCCATTTTTAATCTTTTGTTGACTTTTGTTTCTTGAGAAGACATTCGTGGGCGTAGATGCTTAGATGTCCAGCTTCATATATCGTTTGCGACATCCACAGGCGCAAAACTCAACATGCATTATTTGGAGTCGTAAATTGTTTAAACCCATCACATTACGCATTAAAGAAAACTGCGAATTGAAGATTAGAATTTAACCAATCAGAACGAAACGGATTAAAATTAAAGTTATCTGACTGGTCGAATTCTGATCTCTAATTTGCAATTCCTTAGTTTACAATGCATAATGTGACACGGGCTTAAAACTGTCTCTCTCGCTATACTAATACTGAGAAAAAAATTATTCATTAGACTAAATTATTCATTAGAACAATTTTTTTCTCAGTGAAGAATAAACTAAAATAGAAACCGATAAAATGCTCGATAAGTTCTTTTCCTTTGAATATTGATTATCTCTTCGAGACTTCTAAGTGTTCTAAGCTATGTTACTAAGAACGTCAACTTTTTTTTATTCGATCTTTTTATATATATTATATAGATTTTTCATCAGCTTCTACTTTCAAAAAGTGATCAATTAAAAATAACAAATATCTTTTGTATACAAACAATAATTTTCGTTAATTTTATTTTTCTTGTTCAAAAATGTTGTTACATTACCACTAGATTTTCATTAGATATTATTTATAGAAACTGCTAAAAAATTGTAAACATTGATGTCTCTAATTGTCGATTTACTGGAAATTATTAATAATTATTAATTCCAAATAATTATAGCAATTAATTACTTTTACTTATCGCTAAATGTAAATAATGTACATTCAAAGTTTCCTTTATACTTGTATAAGCAAAATTAAGACTGTCGTCTTTTTTATCGTGATTCCGCAAGTCAGCACACACACGACGTTGTTATGTTTTACTTCCTATTATGAAAGTAAATAATTTATTAAAGTGATTACATAATGTTCAAATGAAGACTCGATTCGGTCATTGAACAATAGCAATTTTAACGAATTCGCCGTCGAGGGAGATAATACATTTTTAGACGAATGGCAAAAGTGCCGCATAATAATATTTTTATATATATATATATATATTTAATATTATTTGATATCTCACACACATTAACATTAAACAAAATTTAATACATATTAATATATATAAATAATGTATTCATTATTTAGCATATTTTCATACATTAAATTTATGTAAATTGTCAGAAATGCATATTGTGGTTAGAGATTTTCGTCTAAAAAGATAGAGGTTATTCGAACATTTTTCTGCGCTTGAAATACGCAAAAAATAATGATATAGAAAACAAGTAATTTAATCGCATTCATTGAATCGATTACTAATAAGCTGCACGTGATTAATTATCCAATTGAAAGCATACTATGTTGAAATGTATATACGTGTTTTATACAGGAAACATTCATGTTCGAATGACTGCATAGTGTTGATTTATTCCATTCAATAATAATCTGGTTTAATGTTATCAGAGAGAAACCTGAGAGAGAGGACATGCCGGCTCAAAACCTGTAACCACAAAATGCTGCCGCGTACTACTGCCCCCTGACAAAGTGGATGTAAACTATATAGCTCTGAGGGTAATACGTCCACTTTTCAACTCCATTGGAAGATTTTCAGCGTTTTGAAAACCAGTTAAACGAAATTAATGACATGTCCGTAGCATTAATACGTATAATCACAATATTTGTTTACATTCGTCAGTTTTTACAATTCATTTTGTTTTTAAAATTTATCTTCATGTAATTTTATTACGAATTAAATATTTGTACGTATTTAATAAAGAAGAAAAATATAATCCGATTACAGTGATCTAATAGACGCTTATATCTTCCACAAGTTTTTACATATGACAAATATATAGAATATTGTTTATTTAATTACAAATATATTTTTATGCAAACAAATATAGGCTTACCGGAAACAGATCTTTGATGTTATACCATGAAGGTGGTGGCTCGGCTCTCTTTTTATGAACACACGTGAACATCTTGGCAAGAAACATGCAACGTACAGGGAAGACTAATACTGATGACGCCTCTCTTGGACACTTGAATTTGTATCAACAAGTTGGCCGAATTGCAAAATCGCAAAATACGTTACAATGACGATCCAGTCCGTTTGTAGCTTCCTGGACACTGGCCAAAATTATTCGTACTTTATTGTGCGAACTGCGATATTGCGGATATCGTTGTTGCGCATCAGAATCAGCGACCCGAAGTCATAACTTCTTTCAACTACTGTTCCGTTGAAAATCGACGACTTTTCTGCCCGAAATCAATTACTATTACCGAAATTTTGAAATTGCTAGTATCTCGTAGTGGTCTTTCTAAAAAAATGATGCCTTGTTTATACATCTGGATATATGTGTATACGTTTGGATTCACAGATCCGAAATCTGTCATAATTTATACGTATGGCAGATTCCAGGACGCCCTGTAATCAGCTGCCGTACATTATAATATATACTATACGTTAATATACTAATACTATATAATAATAATAATACGTTAAAGCATCATATAATCTCTATCATACTTGTTAAAAATCTGTTTGTCTTTGACTGTTCCCTTTAATTCAATATGGAAAATGGATCACGTGCCCGATCCGCGTTCACGTGTCACGGTTTTGCACGTGAATAGAATAACCTGAGCGATACAATCAACTAGTGTTGCTAAATCGGATTAAAGTCCAAAGCGTAACGTCGCTTTTAAGGTCAGCAGAACTGCGCATCGCGACGTCATTTGTCGTCAGAACGTACACCGCGAATGATGGATTTCACCCACATAAGGGTGCATCAGATACTTTCGTCGATTTTGAGACCGCTTGTGTTGGAATCAACAGTTGAAGATAACATCGAGCAAGAAGAGGAGGGAGAAGACGCGTAATTTAATGCTTTGGTTTACACAAGAAAAATTGTGTCGAAGTTATAACTTGGTGAAGCGATTATAAATGTTTATTGTTAATTTCCAAACGTTCAGTATCGGATATTTAAGTACCTCTCTGCGTGAAAGATATGAGATTATTGAACCAAATTGAAAGTTTCTAAATAAATAATAAATATGTCGTTCTAAAAAAGTAATCGAGTTTCATGTAAAATAAAGTTCAGAAAAACTATTGCGTAATGTGGTCGCTTTAATTATATTCAATATAGAGTAACTCCGGCATATACGCCGCGCTGGAATTTGCCGCGGAAGTGAGAAAAAATAGGAGTGGGGATAATTTTCTCGCAACTACTCTGTTACATGCCTTTATGTTATATTCAGTTATGATTTCAGCTTCTGACTGTTAATATTAATGAAATTATTGTGAGATGAATCGATTTGTCACTGTGTGTGTAACAAGTAGCAACATCATAAAATATAATCTACATAAAATAATTACTGTAAGGCGTGTAAAAGACCTAGTGGTTATTTCGTGATACGTACGTGTAAAAGAATAGTAAAGTATGTTGTATAGCAAAATACAAGTGCTTTGCTTTTGTATTCTTTGTTTAATTTGTTGAAACCCTTGCGTTTTTGCCATATATCCCACCCATTATCTATACAGTATTTGAATAAAAAATCATTCAAGACTAATATTTTGCAATTTTTAGTAATTAATATCTTGTTAATTATTGCGAAAATTGCAAAATGGTAAAGGACTTTTCGACTCAGTTTGGTCCACTCTATATCTATACAAAAGTGATTGGCAAAAAAGGTCGGGACACCTTGCATATAGCAAAAATGCAAGATTTCGAAAAGTTTATTTTTTAATACAAAAACTAAATATTTTGGATTTCTAATATTTTTTTCATAGTAGTAGACAGTACAAAGTTTTTACTGATATAATTCGTTCATTTTAAACATAGTATGTAATACTTAATAAATTAAGTTTTTGATAGGTGCGGCGTATATACCGGAGTTACCCTAATCAAAATCGATCTCCACGAAAAAGAAGAAAAAGAGTTATAAATGGAGTACGTTAATTACCTCGTAACATCATTCAATGACTCATTATTCCACACATCAAACGTGTTAGATAATTTCGAACACGCAAAAGGCGGAAAGTTGAAATCAGAATTTTATGTAAGTCTCCTCATATAATCCTTTGTTCGATAGAGTCACAGATAGCAGTAAATATAACATCTCGCGCAATATAAAAAGTAATTTATTCAAAGTTAATTTGCGACATTATTTCATCTACAGCATGACGAAAATGAAAATAAAGTACCTGTTGATGCGAAAGGAAATTACTATTACGCTAACTGCGATGCTTCGGTGTGGATGAGGAGCTGCGAGAAAGAAGTGATTGAGCCCCTACGATCGAGCGAAGTCACCGGCACCATCCCGAAATGGCTGAAGGGCACCCTGCTGCGGAACGGTCCGGGCAATCTGAAAGTGGGCAAATACCGTTATCAGCATCTCTTCGACAGCTCGGCTTTGTTACACAAGTACGTTTTACACCAAAATGAAAGCTAGAGAATTTCATTGACATAAATATAATATATTGCGCAGATTCGGTATCGCGGACGGTGAGGTTACCTACCAGAGGCGATTCGTCCAGACCGAAGTGTACAAAAGGAACATGGCAGCCCAGAGAATAGTTTACAATGAGTTCGGAACTAACGCGACGCCGGATCCCTGTCAGACTATATTCCACAGGTAAACAGGAGAAAATCTTGAAATAAAGATAATCTTAAGTGAAATATATTTTTCACAATTGTTTAAGGAACACCCCAAATCAAGAGAAAGTAAAAATAATTTTATTTTGGCATTGTAAAAGTCAAAAGATAATTTTTTGTTAGAAAATTTGACGTTAGGAATCAAAATAAAATAATTTTGATTTTTTGTTGACTTTTGTGTATTTCTTGGGTAATGGGTAGAAAATTATATATAATATATTTGATATGTATAGACGAATTATATACGTTGACTTTACAGTGCTTTGGACAGATCTTTGAAGTCTTGCAAATCGTCTCTCTATTTTAAATTATTTTTTTTAATGATTTTTCAGAGTGGCTGCGGGGTTCAATCCAAACGAAACGCTATCGGACAATTCCATGATTTCGATATATCCATTCGGTGACGAATATTACACGTTCACGGAAGCGCCAGTGATGCACAGAATCGATCCAAAGAATTTAGAAACGATGGGCAGGGTAAACGTTCTCCTTTGTTTTAAATTTAAATATTTAATTTAAGTTTGTAATATCTCAGTTTTTAATATTAATTTGTAGTGAAAGTTCATAATAAGTTCTCTAGTTGCAAAAACTATTTTTTTCCGTTCGTGTTTCGCAGGTAAACATGTCGAAGTACGTTAACATCGTAAATCACACCTCGCATCCTCACGTTATGGCTGATGGTACGATTTACAACGTAGGATTGAGCGTAACGCCGATGGGACCTCGATACAGCGTCGTATGTTTTTATCCCAATTGCGTAACTGTTGGTAAGATATTTTTTTATCACTGAAAAAAAATTTACTACGTTTTAATAAATGTTTGTTTGAATAATAACTAATTAAACATTTACTTATAATAAATATTTGTTCGATAAAAAAGATATTTAAATCAAATTGATGTTCTTGTATCAAATAAATATATGTTTACATTTAGTAAACATTTAATTGGTACTATTCAAGCAGACATTTATTAAAATTTATATATTACAATTTAATACATCTTTTTTTAGTGTTGTTATAATATAAAAAGAAATTTTTGAAAGAAGAAACTGGAAGGTTTACGGTATTATCGACAGCGTAATTAATTTTACAATGGAAAAAAATAGATTAATTTTTTCGAGTTTTACAAGTTTTAAAATATTAGACTAATATATTTTAGACCATATTAAAGTACTTAAAACATAAAAATTCTAACATATTTAATATGTATCCAAAATATTTAAATTATAAACTTTAATCATTTCAAGTGCGATTATCCTAGATAATTCCGGAAAAGAAAAAGAACTCTCCATGTTTGATCAAGCGACGATTGTGGCCAGTGTGCAGTGCAGGTGGTTGCTAAATCCATCATACATGCACACCTTTGGCATCACGGAGAATTTCTTTATCATAGTGGAACAGCCACTGTCGATTTCGATCGTCCAGATGACAAAGAACCACTTCAAACAAGAACCTATGATGAATTCCTTCAAGTGGTACGAAAACAAAGGCGTATGTATCCGTCGATGAAATCAGATCGTTATGAGCATGTTAAATCATTATTAGTACGTTAAGGTATCTGATGTTCCTGTTATCAGACTCTCATCCACGTGATCTCGAGGAAGACGAGTCAAGTAAAGACGTTCGTTGCGGAGACGTTTTTCTACCTCCACATCATCAATCAGTTCGAAACTCGTGATAAGAAGTACATCGTTCTGGATATATGCTGTTATCGGAATCCAAAGATGTTGCAGTACATGTACTTTGACGCGATGAAAGTATGATATTCGGGCAGCAAAAATAATTTCACGTAACTGATAATTCTTAACGAATATTTACGTTAATGTACAGGACATGCATGGGAACGCCAATTTCTCAAAGCTCTTCCGCGCCAGGCCGCTACGTTTCGTACTTCCTATGAGAAAACTGAGCTCGGACACGCCATCGGAGCACAATCTTATTACGACCGAAACGGTGCATCAGAGCACGGAGTTCCGAGATGTCAATGGCGAGTCTGTCGATCATAAGTCGAACTATGACGTCGTCAATGGCAATGAAGACGACGTTGAATACGACAGTGAAGCTAAGTTTTGGCGAGACGAACACAGAAGCGTTTTGCAGAAAAAGCCGGCTGCTCACCGACTTCCTGATGGCAAGATCTTCGTGAAGCCAGAGCTTCTCTGTGATGTCGGTTGCGAGACTCCGCGGATAAACACGGATTTTCATCTCGGCAAGGAGTATCGATACTTCTATGCGATCTCCTGCGACATGGACCTGAACAATCCTGGAACGGTACATTGCATGAGTTTCCAAAGTATACCGCGCGTTCGATAAGGGGTTGCAAGTCTACACTCTTATTATATAATTTAGTACGACGAGATGTTGATAGCATTTTACTGTGTTAATAAAATTAAATTTTATTCGCAGCTCATCAAGGTCGACACCTTCCAAAAGACCAAGAAACTGTGGCAGCAAGATGGTGTTTACCCAAGTGAACCAATTTTCGTACCAGATCCCAATGGAAAGGTATCAATTGAGCGCCATTTTCTTGGGAAAAGTAAATAAGAGAGGATTCAAATTACTTTTCTCTTGCCCTTTTAGAACGAGGACGATGGGGTGATTGTGAGCTCAATCGTGTGGGCGGATAAAGAGACACGAGTCGGTTTGTTGATCTTGGATGCTGTGACATTTACAGAAATCGCAAGAGCTACCTTTGACACACCGGGACCGGTACCTAAATGTCTACACGGTTGGTTCAGTTTGAACAAATAACCGATTGCAAAAGAAAAATCATTTGAATTGTTTTGAGACTTTTTACTATTAATTTTTAGTATTAAGTTTTGAATATTAAATTTATCATATGAGGGGGTCAAAGTTTGCAACGTGGCAAATTGTTTTTATTGTTTTAATTGTTTGTGTAAATTATTTTTTTGTGGAGAAATAATTTTTTTTCTATTTCTCTCATTTCTTTTAAAATAAATTAAGAATTAATTTATTGCATAAAAATATCAATCTATCGGTTATCGAATTTTGCTAACGAATCATAGTTTGTTCTAATCATTTTTGTGTTCGTGTTTTTTTTTGTAACTGATAAATATTGTCAGATACACGAATATAATAAGTCATCTAATGTCTTTTAACGATGCGCAATGTGTTTACAATCGGCGGACAATGCCGTATAAGGATGCAACAATACGCGACGCTGTTCGCCGATTATAATAAATGTAACAATAAATGTACAATTTTAACAAGATGAGAATCTAGTCGAGTGGAATGTAAAACCTTAAAATGTCAAAAATTTTCGCAGCTCATTGAATGGCGGAATATTAAATTAATATTAGAGCCATATTCTTTAAACTGCAGCAATAACAATAATTATAATACAAAGTTGATTGGTAGACAATATCGTCTCAATTGCACTATTAAAAACTATCGAAACAGTAACTACGATATACATGATCCTTTGCCTCTAATATTCTAATTGATCTAATAGTGAATTTTTTTACAAGAAAATACTCTTCATTCTGATACATCCGAAATGCGACTTTCGATTGTTAGAATACATATCTCGGATAAATTCGTCAATGAGAATTTTTAATGATAATCGAAAATTTTCAAGTTGAATAATTTCTAAACGCGTTCTGTAGAAATAAACGCGAGCTAGTTTTTAGAAGAAATCCAATGAGCATCTTTCTCGGCTATTTCTAAATTAAGTATCATGAAGAATGAAAGAGAATTGTCTGCATTTTTTTGCTAAGTTCAATCTACAACATGACGATCTTAAAATTGACAATAGTTAACGATTAATAAATAATAGTCTGGCACAACCATGGTCAGATACTTATTAGCTAAAGGAGCGTCAGCGTAGAAACCCTAAATGATCTCGTACACCGATATCATATTATATTAGGTCCAATTATGCACGTTTTATCACGCGGGAAAGTGCAGCGTCGCTGTTTTTGGCACTACAAATCACTTTCGCTCCATCGAGAGATCCGTTTAGCTGTTTAAAAAACTTACCTTGTTACTTGTCGATATAGTAACGATAAACTAGCGATTCACAGCGTATTTCATAAAGATACTCTCAGCTCGATACCAAGATACGAAAATCCGTCTGATTCCGGTCCAGATTTCGCGCGTGTTCTTGTATCGTACAAATGTTATTCTAATAAAATATATAACGAAAAAACATACGTGTTTCACGGTGTTTCCAGATAAAATCATCCATTAAGAAACGAATCTCGATGTGCGAATACATCTATCTATCTATCCGATAAAAATAATCCGCGTATTTGAACGTGAATACGATCGGTGATCGCATCTCACATAACATTATGTTAGAACGAAATAAGAAATTCCGAAACAGAACTGCAATGCTTAATACTTCGCGCATTCGCGTCTTGTCTTGGGACTTTCATTATTTCGCTCACCTTAAGGCTTAAGTACGAGAGAAGTGTTTGAGAGAATATCATTACGCGTTAACTCGCACATAACGACTCCGTCGCTCTTGAAACGCGTGAAAAGGGAAACAAGGAAGGAGTAAAGGATAAAACACGGCTCTCGCATTATTTGGACCGCGTCACGCGACTACGGCGACGCGGCTATCACAATATAAGCTTTTGCTTTCGATTTTGACACGGCAAAACCCTCAGACTTTGTCCACTTTCTCGCAGTCCACGGAGTTTATAGAGTTTATCGCGTTGATGTTCTTGTTGATCTCCGTGTCCGTCTCACTTCTCGCCAGGCTCGAGAGCGACTCGGCAATGTGCGATTCGGGATGCATCGGTAGGATACCAGCGTTCGCGTCCTCAATGGCTTTCCTGAGCTGCAAAATAAAATCCACGTGTAATTTTATTAATGGAATTAGGGTTTATAATTTTCATCCCCCAATCAAGACGACCGTTCGTTGATTTTTAAGTGTCTTGGCTGGAGAATTGTACCGTCGTGAACCATACCTCCTTCAACGCAACTACTCCGACCAGCCTGCCGATAGCCGTTACATAAGCGTGATTCACGCCGACCATACTGAAGAGACTATGCACCTTGAGCAAGGACGTTCTTTCGACCAGCTGGAAAGGAGCTGGGTCAATATGACACCTCGAGAAATCCACCTCGAGTGCCATCTCGCTCTCCTCCCATCGTTTCTGATCTTCAGCCGACATGTCTATCACTCTCTCTCGAGGCTGATTAACATATGCAAATGTGTTATTTAGACACTGTATTTAGAGGAAACAATTATATTTGCTCACCAATTGTACTTTCTTCGATGTCGCCGGACTTGGGGCCAGCATGGGCGTATGAGACTGCACGTTCATGACATCTTGACTCCCTCTGGTACCCAGCTCCGGATCAGGATCCACGTCCTGCAACGTAGCGGACTTACGGAAAATCGCCTCGAACGCCAAACGAATCCTGCGATATATTAATAATTATTCTTCCATTTCATATTATTTACTATTCTACAAAATTATACTTATTTAAATATTCAAGACGCCTAAAAAAAAAATAAAACAAAGACCGATAATGTAGACTTTTTTATAAAACGTATTATAGATTAATATATAAAATATATTTTTTACTATATATGAAAAATTGTTGAAGCTAGAGATAATGAAGCGACTCGCCTGCTTTCCGCGCCTGTAACTGTCGTATAAGGTGTCACCGCCGGACTTACTAACGGGCTGAATCCCTTAAGAGTGAAAGAATTGGTCTTCTTCAAAATTGACTTTTTCGGTTGCGATCCAAACACCGGTGAATGGAACGTATGCTAAGAGATGCAAGAAAAATATTACATTAATCTACATCGAAGAGAATGATACACAAGGAGAGGAACAACCACGATTGACGTCAAAGTCAACCACACGAACACTTGCGCGAACTCACATGATCGGGACCGCTGCCGTTGTTTGCTGACATCGTTAGATCATTAACACTCTGCCTCTGCATCTTGAGAATGTCCGGTGCCGGGATGACCTCGAATCTCGAAGGTCTTCTCGTTCTCTCTTGCTCCCTCAGCTGTCGTTCTATTTCTTCGCGCGCTCTCTCCTCCGCCTCCTTGTGCCATTTTTGTGCAACCTGGAATGTCGACGATGATATATAGACACGAAAAATAAAATCGCGAATGAACTTCCAAGGTATTGGAAATCCTATTACCTGCAACCTTCTCTCGCGACCGATATGCTTCTCGATAAGCTTGACTAGTGCTAATCGCTGGATCGATCCAAGTAGAATCATGGAGTCCGGATTATCCACCAACGGAAATCCGCGAAGCTTGCGATTTTCTTTTAATATGTCTTTCAGTTTCTGATAACTAATGCCATGCCATATGTACTTGACATCGCGGACCATGAAATCCTCCACGTAAACATTGTACATTCCTATAACAATTAATTTTTTTACCACCATTTCCTCGATTGCGTAAAATCTGCGACAAGTCGTAAAATTACGAACAAAATTACCTTCTTATTTATTCCGAACGATAAGCTTTACGGAATAATAATATAAGTTCAGTTAATTGAAAAGAAGATAAGTTATCATAAAACGGAGGAAATACCTACCTGAACTGGATGGAAGTAGATCAGGCAAGTAAGGCAATTTCTTGATAAGAATGATGCTGTCGTATATACTAGGCTGTAACAGCGCGGCGATGGCATTGCTGATCAGCACTGCTATCATTATGGGCACGATGTGTGTGATCTGACCGGTCATCTCAAAAATGATGACACTGACGGATATTGTATGCGTCACCGCGCCGGAGAACGCGGCCGCGCCCACTGTGGCATATCCACCTAAATGAAACAATTTCACGACATAAATATAATTCTTCCCTCAATTTGCTTTCCTCTTTAAACTCGGTTAAAATTGCCTCACGTACCTAAGTACGAACTCACCATGAATTTTTTTAGATACTGACATGTTTAAGAAACATCAATTATTCGCAATAAGTTATTTTTCAAATATTTCAATAGAAAATAATTTTTTTACATTTCAGTACAAAATAATAAGAATCATAAATAAATAATTATATGTACAAGTATTTAATTCAAGATACCTGGTACAATGGGTGTAATTACTCCGCCATAACGTACACCAGTGGGAAACCAAAGAGCCATGGCTTCACCGACCGTTCTGCCTAGCGCAGCACCAATCTTGAATACGGGGATAAAAATTCCAGATGGTACCGGCACCGTCGAACTTATAATTGAAAAGATGAACTGAAACCGAAGTTTCTTCCATTTTCATCTGTTCTTATCATATAATCTATTTAAGAATATTCAAGCAATTATGCGAAAAAAAATCATCTTCTTACAGTGAATAAAACAAAACTAAGAAGTCCACTGAAGACATCGGTAAATGATGTCGACCAATGCTTCACGATATTCATCTCCTCGACGCTGAGATTCTCCTTCGTCCAAGTAAAGTTAGTGAAAAGACCGAAAACCTGATCGTGCGTGTTCAGATCACCAGCCATGAATTGACCGAGCCCGACGGGAAATGACACAGATGAGACTATCAGAGACACAATGCCGGGGTACAGAAAACGACTGAAATTAACGAATCATTTCTTGATCACAAACTCCAAAATCGTAAAAGAAATTCGCGCTGTAGCGATTATTAAAATTTCGATACGTGATTTCGAGTGACTTACTTCTTCTGTAAGAAGCTGTTCATGCTCTTGTTCTTCCGCATAAAGATCACATATTGCCTGTGCAGCCAGACGTAGAAGGCGCCCAATAGCCCGCTGCCGACGCCGATCAGGGCGAAGACGAGGAGCTCTTGCGGATCGAAAGGGAACTCCATAGTGAAATTGGTGGCGAACATCGCTGTGATAGTCTCTTCGCGCTGGAACCAGATTGCCAG